GAAGAAATGTGAATCTTTCTGTTGTTGCCTTTGGGTAAGGCCCACTACAAATACACTTAAGGAACATAACACAAAAGAAAAGTGTTATGATCACAGTTGCAGTTATTCATAAATCACAAATACGCATGTACATACCTATGTGTGTATGTATGCATATTCTTCAAATATATGCCTTACAGATCTCCTTATTTTTATAGCAAAATATGATGGTAAATGTCAGCTTTTATTTTATCAGTAAAAAAATCTGATAATAGTAATTTTTTTTCACTCAAATATGTTAACCATTCATTTGCAGGACACATTGTAGTTAAGAGAAAAATGGAGGCATTGCAAATCCAAGCTTACTGTAACAACTGTTATTACCATGCTGTAAGAGAAATATATAGGGTCCCTCAAAAAACCCCAAAACAACAAATACAAGTGAAACATATATAATAAGGATTCAGCTGCCTATTCATTTTGATATGTTTGGGGATTTCAGTTTGGGTTTTGGTTTGGGTTTTTTTTTAGAAAAACAAGATTGTATTTTTTTAGGAACATTTCTCGGTTCAGTCTATTGATTCAAGGTGGCATTTTTATCCCTTACCAGGCTCTTATCTTCTGTAATCCCCTCGGTATTGACAAGATTTCAACCATTTGCTAATGGAGTTATCTTTACTGAATATTTCTGAAACAATTGTCTGTTTGAAAACAGTAGAATCAGAAAACCTGTTGTAAACACAGGTATATATATATAAACATATATATATATATAAACAATCCAGAGGTTTTTTTTTAATTGACATCCAATTTTTTTTACTTCTTGCAAGATTCTATCTAGATGCTTACTTTACGCTTAAGTACAAAAATGCTCGTACCTAGATTTTCCCTGGAATAGCAAAAGACATGAAGTAAAAGTAAGCATAATAATTTGTGGCCACATGTATGATCAATCAGGTAAATCCTATATTTGTGATGCATTCCATTCATTATTGGATTATCATTATTGGATTAGATATTAGGAAAAAGTTTTTCACTGAAGGGGTGGTCAAGCATTAGAGCAGGCTGACCAGGGAAGTGGTGTCTGGAAATGTTCAGAAAACATGTAGATGTGCTACTTGAAGACATAGTTTAGTGGTGGACTTGGCAGTGCTGGCTTAATGGATGGACTTGATGATCTTAGAGGTCCTTTACAACCTTTATGATTCTATGATTCTATCCGTATGTTTTCATTTTTCTTTCTGTTTGGTCTTGCATTAACTAGGAGAAGGAACTGCATATTGACTAATACTTCCATTGTAAATGAAGTTTCATTGCTTCATGACTCAATTTTTCAATAAAAAATAACATTTAAGACACGAGCATTCTGTAAGTATAATGTCTAAGAAATAGTTATGATAGGAATAGGAGTAAGAAAACTGCACCACACTGGTATGAACTCTTATGCGTTCTTGAGAATTCTTCTTCAGGGAATAGACTGTTGGATTTCCATGCCAGCTCTGTCTTTCACCACTCCAGTTAGACCAACAACTGGAACAGCAGCGGTGACAATAATACCCATCTCTCAGTACTGTTCAGTAGATATTGAGAGTGCTTTATCAGAAGTGCAAGCATAATTATGTCAGTTTCAAAGATGGAAAGATGGGACTTACAAAGGGAACGATTTACAGTGATTTACAACAAACCTGTCTTGTAGATACTGCATTCCAAATTAGTTGATCACTCTCTACAATGGTTTTATTTTCTTTGGCTGAAAGTGCTGACATCTATCTGAAGGATGGAGAGAAAAAGTAGTCTATGCTTTAATTCAGTTTGTCTATGTCACAAATGTTAGTGAAGTTTGAAGCAGACCCCATGAAATCTAATGAGACTAGATGAAGAAAAAGGGACCCATGACTGTCAGACTTTGGGAGAGTCTCTGATTTTTTAAACCTATGTTCAAGGGAATAGACAATCTACACCTTTAGAGGTATCTGGATTTTTGTGGAAATACCTTCAGGCTGATGAAGTTATCCTTCCCTATTACTGAGGGTCTGCAAATCTTGAGCAATGATTCTCACCAACATGTAAAATGTTTTGCCAGATAGCTTATATGCTGATTACAATTGTGTATATGCAAGTTTAATAATTTGTTACATTTCTTGCACAAAATATTTGACTGCTCTACCCTCTAAACAATGTGTAAAGCAGTTACAATCAAAAATAAAAAAATAACTTCGTGAACTTTTGACTCTGAGATTTAGGCAAGCAGAATTCATGCTATGATGGATGTGGCTGTAATTCTGACAAAATAAAAGGATGTATTTGTCATTTATGAAGACTTTTCACAAGTTTCTTGAAGCAAATTACAGTAGGTCTTTGAAACAATAATATACATTTCATACTGGCTAGGCTTTGCAAAAAAAAAAGATTTGAGAAGGACTCTATCCACGCTTACTGCAAGCGCGCCGGTGGCTAAAAAGGCCAATGCGAGATATGCATTTTATTTGCAGAAGATGCCTGTTGGCCTTGGTGTACCAACTGGGTGAAGGGTGGAGATGAACTTTGGTTAGGCCACTTTTTCTAGGCCCCTCTCTGTGTGAAACAAGCAGTGCTCTCCTTGAAAAAGGCTGCTTGGTCATTCAGGATGCTGCTGAATGAGTCTGTCATCTCCGGGGTCAGACTCAGGCAACCAATGTCCTGAATAGCCTACATGCAGGGTTAGGACTGCGGCTTCCAGTGCATCTTATCACTGCTATTTCGTTCCTCACCTGTCGCTGCAGGGCTTTACAAGTGTGGGTATGTCCTTTGAGCCTGCGCAGTGGATTTTTTAGGTGAGGCTCAGCTTGCACAGAACTAGTCTCACTTTTTACTCCTGAGGTTCATCTGCCAGGGCCTAGCAAGCTTGGACGGTGACAGCGAAGTCCTCAGGATGTAGATTTAATTATGTAAGAACAATACATCCCTTCCAATTGCATGTACTTATGAGTTGGACAGCAGAAAACCTGCATATAGATTTCTGAAGTCCATCATAAAAACAATATTTAGCAGTATACACAGATTCATAAACAATTGAGGTTGTTAATCCAGAAATATCAGGCAATTAGGATGAATTTGATTGACTGTCTTACTACATTAATCTTTCACTTCTAGACTAGTTTTCAAATTCATTATTGATAGGCTTTTTCTAGCATTGTATTTATTCTGTTTTAGAAATAATGTAATAAAAAGTATTTTTTGTCAAAATGTAGAAAGAAAAAGCTGGTAGATCTAGTTTACCTGTATTAGTGATACAATCTTGAAGATAAATGCATAGGAAAAGCAGTCACAAGCATAAGTTAGCCCCAAACTTCTTTTCAACTTTAAGCACACAATAGCTATTTCCTTTCTTTTTATTATTATTTTAACAAAGAGCATATTCCAATCTTAATTCATTTTGTTGTTTAACAATGTTTTCAATTTCAGAAAATATTTCTTTAAATGAAAGGCATGCAATTTTAAAAATATTATTACCATGTTAGGTTTATTTTGAAGTTTCACTAATTAACCACTTAATTTTAGCATTAACCACTGATTTTAGCGTTTCAGCCTTCAGTGAATATGTTATGGTTCCCAGGCAAAGGAATTAATGGAAATTTTACTGCTTTATTAAATAATATATTTTGCTCTTTAACAAAAGAGCAGTGCACTAGAAAGATCTACTACTATTTGAGGCGTTAAATAATCCAAAGGCAGGGAATCTGGGAATTCTGTAAAGGCAAGACATCAGTACTTTAAACCTTTAGGAGGTACACCTAGAGTAAATTATATATTTTAAGAAAAAAACAAATTACTACATTTGTAGAACCATAAGAAAATGAATGGAGATAATGTTAATAATACTTGAAAGCTCTTGATCTCCAAAAGAGACAACTGTTTAGTAAGATACATTTACAATAATTCAAGAATTTACAAGAAAGGGAATTAGAGGCTTCTGACATTTAGATATAGCAGGCTACAGAAAATCATCCATGAGAAACCAGAGAAACTTTGAAATTTATAGCTATGTTGTATATGTTAGTACATAGAGTGATATTCAGTCATATGATTTAAACTTTGTTCACATGTATTGTGAGAAATTTATTTTGTTATTGAGAAGTACTAAAAAATTAAACTATTAAAAACACGAAAATGTATAGTCAATAATATTTTCCTTTAATAAGTGGTAAAAGGATATTAATAAAATTTGTAATTGATAAGCTATCATTAATTATATATATACATAATACATTAATTATACATATACATGTATATACATATACATGTATATACATGCTGATCTGCTGTACTACAAATATCATATCATTGTCTTGCAAAGTTTGGGTTGTCTTCCACAGGTGCCAAAAAAAGATATTTCTGGGCATAAAGTGTTCATTTATGCTAAAAAAAATACCCTACCTTTGATCAAGTCTACTGGTTATTTTATTTAAATAATTTTTTAAGTATTTTGTAGAAATTATTGTCTAAATTACTCAAGCATCGGTACGCGTGACAATGAAAGTGATTGTTTCACATGTTTCTGTGTTTTCTTAAACTTGCTGTGGCACCATCCAGCATCTAAGTTTAAGTATACCTGGACTTTGAACAAAAGAAATCTCTCTTTCATTTGTTTCAATAAAGTAAAAAAATAACTTGTTAATTAGATATATCTAATTGAACTAGTTCTCCATCCACTGGAAGGATGAGTTTCTGAGTCAAAAGCATTGAGTATCTCTGTAAGTGTTTAAGTTCAAAATGGACAGACAATTGCGCTTTTAAAAAAATGATAACTTTGTGTAGTAATTTTACTTTGGTTTTGGATAAGGAGTTTATTTTTTTAAGTATTACATTGTGAAAATACTTGTATTACTTTTAAAAGTAAGCAATACATAATTACGAAATTGTGTGCTGTCAAATTAGACATAAAAATATTTTCATCCTAAAAAAGATTATGATACAGTAAAATTTAGGGAGTTTTGGTTGGTTACTTGGTTTTTAATTTCACATGTCTGTTTATTGTTTAGAAAAGAATATGTCTACTCCAGAAAAATCATGTTTGGGTCCATCTCGTAAAGAACGGATATCATTTCGAGACCATCCAGTGCAGCTCAGCGGAGGATGGGGAGCAGGCAAAAAAAGGCAAAAGCTTAAAAATATTAGCTGAATATTTGAGATAATTTAACTAGTTGATTTAATCAAATATGGAGAGCATATGGAGACCTGTTTCTTTTTAAGCCAGTGAATATCAATTGTTGGATTTTCGTTTATTACCAATAAAGCAGTTTCAGTTAACTACATTTGACTTATTTTATTATACATGGTTACAGTGGTTTGGGTTTTGTGTTCTTGGTCAAAGTATTTTATACCTGTCAGTAAGTTATCATAGTTTGTGTTTTCAATTGCTTATACGTTCATGTGGTGTAGAATGCCGAACTGATTAACTCTACAAGGTTTGTTGTACAGTGACTAAGTTTAGGCTTGCTTATAAGAACTGGATGAGAAGTCCAAATGTAATAAGGGTTCATGTGATGTATGTCACATATTGAAACACTGAATTCTCATTTTCTCACTAAATAAAATACATGCTTGCAAACTGTGTTCTGAGCTATAACAACCATCAATGCTATTTTTAGAGAAGTCTGTTTAGAATATTTTACTGAAGCAGCAAAAATTCACAGCAACCTATAAATGGTGAGAATGCACTTTTCTTTTTTTAAGAATATGAGAAGTCCTTTGGATTTTTCATCATGAATTATTGTCGTAATATGATAAAGCAACCTGTTATAGTTTTATATATACTTTCAAATACTTCTAACAGTTTCCTAGAGGATTAAAGAAAAAATATAATTGTAAAGGTTCCTATTTTGTTCTGGGGTAAAGAAAAATTAGACCTACATCACACTGTTAACCCAACTTAATTTGTTGAATTGAATCTAGAGAAGGCTGTCTTTGGTATTTACTTGTCTGGTTTTGTCTGATATTGTGAGCCTCAGCTCCCTACAGACAGAGAAAGAGGTGGGGGAAGGCAATGGGGCTTGAAACTTCAGTAAGAAAAGAATATAAACTCTTATGTTGTGGTAGTTTTTAAAATGTACTTACATTGCTTGTGACATTATTTTGTGAAGTGCTTTTTATGCTAACATACACATTTGTATGGCTTAAAAGCAGTTACCTCCATTTTTGTGAATACTCACGTTAATTCTCAGATAAAAAGATGGTCAATCTCATGGAAAACCTCCAGTAAATACCCTTGCTTGTTTGAATCAGTGTCCTGTTTTTATTATCATTTTCCATTTGAAAAGTCAGTGCAGCCTACTCGAGAAGAGATGTCTTTGCCTTTTTGGGGAATTATGGTCATTTGTCAGCAGGACATAAAATATCACTAGGTACTTATGCTATCTAGTTGCTTTTGCAATGTATGTAGTTAGTGTTAAACTAGATTTCAGAACCTGCAGTATAAATAATATTAAATGTCACCCCCAAAGACTGGAACTTCTGTGATTTCAATTTTAACGTCAGGTTTATACGTTTTATAGGAAAAAAATTGTTACTTTAAAATATCTACCACTACGTGTGGCAGTGTGTTTAACCACTGTTACAGGTGTTAACTGGAGATCAAAAACCAAAATCAAGTAGTTCACAATTTAACATTTCTTACAGATTATCCCCTCTATTTGTCTAGAGTAGCCATAGTATACTGCACATCACCAGAGCTGTAAATAAGATACTTCAGATTTCATGCAGCTTTCTATGTTTATATCATCTATATAATCTATATCTGCATCTCCCTCTATATCTAAAAACAACCTTCTGTATAAAAGTTATCATACCTTGTGTCTTTTGTTTTCTATGTGTTTCTGAATGAGAAATATATCCCAACCTAAATAAAATGTTTTGGCAGCATTTTTAAAGGCATTCTATTTTGCAAAAATAAAAGGTTGCTTTTTAACATACAGTTTACTAAATAACAAATTGGAATAGCAATATTCACTGACGGGCACTTTTGGATTTATAATATGCTTAGTCTGCTTGCTATTCCATGAGCTAATATTGGTTATGCATAGGTTAAGTAGTATACCCAACACAAATGAAATTATAAAGTATGTCAAAACAAATCGCTGTTTTCCTTACATAATATTGCAATGTGTAATAGTATGAGGTCTTATTATTGTATCCAAAACATTTTTCTCAGAATTACAGTGTTGAAAATACAGTGTGTCTGATCAAATACAGATAAACGTGCAAGGGGCAACTTCTGTTCAGTCTAGCAGAAAGATCTTTATTGCATTCAGGAATAAGGTGAAGCAACCATCATGCCTTGCTGTTCATAGTCACATCTTACAGTATGTAAGCTCAGAGGTGACACAAATGATACACATGGTGAATATTTATTACATGATTTTTTCAAGACCTACTCTGCAAGCAGTTCCATGATTTTTTGTGTCTTTTCAGGGTTTTCTTTTCCTTCTTTCTTTTACATTTTCTTTTTGTTCTTCTTTTCTTTCATCTCCCCCCCCCCCTCCCCCAGATGCAGCAATTCCCATTTAGGACAAGAACATATTCTTAAGTTTCTCTGCTTGTAGTGGGTTTGAACCCATGACACTGCCAGTCTGCTCTGATTTTGGAGTGTCTGAGTCACAGTGACAGTCCAGCAAAACCTGCACCACAGATCCCCAAAACTCCGTTTCTGGATGTGCTACTGCCTTTGTGGTGCTCCAGACATCTTCACAGCTTTCTAGCTTCATCTCCTCGACCCTTTTTTCTGTTCCCTGTAGATCTTTTAGGAGGAGGGACATCATATGAATAAGCTCTTTTAAAAAAATCTTCCTTGGATGTATGAAGCTTGAGACTTAGAAATGTGGAAAAGCATTCATTTGAAATTAAGAAGAGAAAAACTAAGCTGCATTTATGCTTTGAACCGTTGATGGATGTCATTCCCCAAATTGGAAAGCTTTCTCTGAACTCTTCTGAAGGGACCCCTGGAGTGTCTTTTCCTGTGCAACTTACCTGAAGGTATGCACAGTAGTTTGTTAAATCCTCTGCTGTTTGAATGGGGACATTAGGAAAAACACCTACAACAACAACAACAACAACAACAACACAAAAAAAGCTCCCCAAAATGCATATTCTGAATGATAACGAAGTGCTAGTGGTACTCAGATCACCCACATCTGAATCACAAAACACGGGCAGATTTTCCTACTTACATGTTTAAACATGGTAACCATGCTGACTCAAAAGATTATTTCTTGTTTTATCGGGTATGTAAATGACCAATGTATACCATAGATACTGCTTTGGCCAGGCTGAGTTGGTGTCACATTTTGATGAGTAAATAATTATAATTAATTGTTATTAATCCTATTATTCAAATGTGCATTCATTAAAGGTGTGTTCACTGTACATTTTTCAAGAACATGCCGCAAGTTGAATCCTATTCTGGCCTCTGACATATGACTGCAAAACTGCCACTTGGTCTTCTATTACAACTGTTAAAAGCATTATGAGAAATATAATGGATTAATATCCCTTTAATTTCAAATTATCGTGATAATGACAATGTGTATTTATGAAGGTACAGTCTTTCCTTGATACACATTGAAATAATAAGCACTCTTTATATGCTTTTCTTTAGTGAAAAAAAACACCTTAAAAGTAGCTATTAATTACCGCATGGCCCCCAAAAGGCAGGAATAGAACTAAAACTATATTATAAAAGATTGAGTAGCCTGATATTACATCTGAGAGTCAAGCAGTTTGTTCTTAGCCTTACTAACTGGGGAAAAAAACAACCAACCAAACAAAAACCCCCAGCAAACGAAGTTGTTTATGTTTTGTTTATTTCTTTTTGCAGTCATAAGTGAAAAATGAACTATTTTTATAGGAGTTTTGAAAAGCATAAGAGCCTTGAATATTAGTCTGTGTCAGACACTGCAGCAGTTTCTAGAGCCTGTATGAGGAATGTATATCTGTACATTCATATATACTTTCATATAAGGGATGTCAAGTGGTCATGGAAGTAGCTGTGGATGAGTAGGAATAGACAGCTCTTGCTTCTCACATGAAGCAAACATGCCTAGAGTAGAGAAGGAGACTGGTATGGCCTGCAAGTGACAATATAAGTAGACTAAAGTAGCTGTTGCATCTTGTGGAGAACTGCTTTCCTGGTTTCCAAGGTAAATGATGGACAGAAAAATGCCCTTGGCTGCATCTAGCAGGCACTCTTTGAGCCCCAAAGTTGTGCTGAGGGTTTGTTAGCACTGAGATCCCTACTGGAGAGATGTTCATGAAGTCCCGTGATGTCAAAAGAACAGGGACTGGAGTTTCAAAGAGATTTTTAGTAGAAATACTGTGTAACTGCCCCAGAGTGACCATCCTTACAAGGACTGGAAGTTGAAGTGAATGACGTTGTGAACTACCCTGTTATTTACAGAGCGTTTTGACAATTGGATTGTTCTCTAGAAGCCCAAATGGACTTCCTCCATTATTTTGGTGAGAGATGCTGACACGACTGGTTAGCACATACCATCTGCCAAGGTCTAGCATTTGTTCCTCTCCTGATCTTCATTCGAGTGTTAGGTTTGTTTGGAGTTAGTAACCTTTTCTTAGTTGATTGATTGCTATTTATATAGTACTTTTTTCTTTTTGCATAAAACGTGAAATAAACCAAATACCCAGGTATATGTAAAATTATTTCTGACTGAAATGCCACTGATAGCTTTTTAACAATAAAACAGATAAGAGCATTTTATGTTAGTAACAACCAATGCCGATTCCACTAGGTTAAGAAGTGATTTAAAACATGTTTACTATTAGCTAAAGGTCGGGTTTTCTTTATTCCTACTTTATTCATTTGTTAAATTTTGCTTATACAAAGAAACCAGAGATTAGCTTTTTAGGAGAGATCGCTATAACTGTTTAGTTAAATTCTACTAAAGGATAAGTGCCTCTGTTTCAAGACAGCTTAATTTTCTGTGCAAAAAAGGAGCATATAAAAATAAAATAAGATCTATGTTCCTGCTGCATTCCGATCATGAGATGAGAGCTGCCCCGTCCAAATGGCATGTTTTCTGCTACCGTCACCGCGGAAGGGTGGTTCGAGAGGTTATTCATTGTAAGAACACAAGTCAAGCCATGAGCTTGACTCTAATTTGCCTAATACGTTGCCATTTGTAGCTATTGAATACATTTTCCTTTAAACGACGATGTCCTTATTGTGAGAGGGCGCCCTGAGGGGTTAAAAAAGCACAACTAGGCGAGAAGATAATACATCAGCCACGCAGTCTCAAGAAATGGTAATTTCTAGTGGCTTCTTCTCTTCCCCCTGCATTTTACTCTTAATTTGCAGGTTCTCTGATAGCTGCGGCGCGCCGAGTGGCTGCGGCCGGTGACAGCCCGGAGCGGCACCAAGGGGCTGTGCCCGGAAAACCGGCACAGACCGACTGTCTACCATTTCACGAGCGACAGCTTCATTCTGCAGTGCGGGTTCACCCCCACTGAATTCTGTGCGACTTTTGACTGAAACTAAAATAAATTACCGAAATAAAAAGAAAAGAAAGAAAAGCATCAAACAAAACACCCCCCCCCAAAAAAAAAAAAAAAACAAACAAAAAAAAAACACAATATCAAAGAGCTGCATTTTATGCAGCCCCTTCATGTTTGTGCCGTTTTCATTGACTTTTAATTGCGGGTAATTACTCGGGAAGTTGTTGCCTTTATGTAATGTACAGCCTGGCCGTGTGCCGAGTTAAGTTCAGAGCCGTGGCCAGGGCGGTGCGGGAAGGATTTATCCCTGCTCTGGGGGGGTGATAAGTGGTCAAGGGGCGACTTGCGTTCACCTGGCCGGCACCT